TAAATTAAATGTTATAAAAGATATTTTTATCTATAATAAAATAAAATTCTAAAATATGATAAACAATTCAATTTGATTTAAAGACAAACCCCACACAACTGTAATTTCATATTAGAAATACACCTGCAACTGATTTCCTAACATTTTAAAATAAGTTTGGGTCATAGAAATATCACAAATACATAGTGTTTGATAATAAAGGATACTAAGTAAATTATTTCCAGAATGTTATTGATTTACCTTGAACATTATATATGACTAAAAGTAGTATTTAAAAAAAAATAGCTGAAGAATATATACTAAATTGGAAATATGGGCTAACATCTGCTAAGTGTTAATGGGAACAGTCAGCCATCCCAAGAAAAGTTAGCATCAATTTAAAATTCTCAACTTATTTAAAAATCAGTAGCACAAGATATAATAGCAACTTCTGCTTAAGGGGATAGTTTTACTTTTCTTATTATGCTCCTAGGTGACTCTGGATAGCAGGTAGGAATAAGCAGCCGCCCTCGAATCCAACAGTAATTTTAAAACATCTGAAAATGCTATGGTTTTACAAAAAATTTTTTTTGAAAGATTAAGACATAGAGAAGAAAAGAGGGTTTTCTTACCAAACAATGCTGATAAAACATACTTTTACTTAAAAAAATACATTCTCTACTCAAAATCAACTTAATACCAATACCGGGCACTTAATTTTTGTACTTTAAAAAAAACTTGTAAGAGTTGTGCTACTTAAGAATATAATACCAATTATTTCCTGATCTACCAATAGTAGTAGCTCAAGAAAGTCATTCTAAACAAAACAAAAACCAATTTGAAGAATAAACTTTTAGTTAACTACTTCAAGTGTTAAAAGATAAAATAAAATTAGGTGTTGAGGAAAATTTGCCAAACAAAGTATATAGATTTCATTTTCTTTTTTGTTATTATTAGAAGAGATAAAAACAAAAAAGGACAGGCTATTGAAAGATAATGAATCTCATTTAAAATTTCATCTTAAAGGGAAATACAAATGATAAATAGTTGCTATATCCCTGTCACACTAAAGCAGCACAATAATATTGGTGTTTAATATTTATTTCACGACGCCAATATTTACGTGCTGCTAGAGTGGAACAAGTATGTCAGTCCATCCAAATGAACATATAATGATGAAAGTATAGTTTTGAATGAATTTCCTTAAATTTCTAGAGCAGCATATAATGATTCCCATCTTGACTACAGTATGTAAATCATGATGTGCTGCTAGAGTACTTTAAGGGCTCAAAAATACAGGATCCAACAGAGTAAACCCTCAATCTACCATTATTGAGAAAAATAAAAAAGAACAAGAGTTTAAGTCTGCAGTTTTTAATAAATTTACCTGCAATATTAAAAATCTATTATGGTCCAAGTCAATTCCATGGCTTCGAAGAAGGTTCCCAACATCCTTAAATGTCTTTTTCTTCCCACTTATGTGATAGACAGAAGTATTATCTCTGTAGGCCGTTCTGGATACATAGAAATTACTGTTAGGAATGACTTCATAATCATCCCCTTCCTGTTTTGAAGGAAAATAAAACAAGAAAACAACTGTTGGCATTAAGTCACTGTTCTGCTTCAAATTTCACTCAATTCATAATGAAACCAATTCTATGGATTAAATACTTAAATTGAACATGTGCAAAAACTGTTAGTAGTTCTCAAAAATAAACTTGCTTAGCAAACAACAGATACTTTTCCAAGTTGTTTGCTTGCTTTCTCAAAGATCTCCAAAAGGCCAAACCAAGCAAATAAAAATTCCAGCTCCAAACATACTAGGACTGATAAGAACCAAGGAGTTTCACCATAACCAAAATAAACTGACTCAAATTAATAATCACACTGACAGACCAAATTACTAGTCCACCTAAAAAAGCTACAGGATGAGATGATAAAAAGAAAAACCAAGGCAGTGAATGTTGGAATGATACTTTTGGTGGTGGTGGTGGAGGAGAACATGCCATTAATTGAAGTAAAAAGAACTGTAAAGAATTCACAACTACATTCTCTGATTTTTAAAAGAAATCATAGGCAAATCTACTCTAACATAAAAGCTTACTTAAAAATCTCCGTGATTTTGAAGTTATGGCTTTTCAACTATAGATGAATCCAATATACACAGGCAATGGAATAAAAATCTTATTTACTGGCATCTATTTTCAAATCCAAATTGTAGAAAAAAATACATTAACAAGGTAAAATATATGCTCTGGTGTAATTAAAGCTTTTTATATTAAAAAAGAAAGGGGGGGGAAAAAAGTCCCAGAAGTGAAGTCACCTGCAATTAGATTCCCTTTTTAGGCTATATTCAGTCATTTTTGAACCATTTCCTAAGTTAATCATCAAACACATGAAAATCTCCCCAAACAATACCAAAAGAACCACAGAACCAAGTAGTAAACAATCAAAATAAGACGTCTGATCTATAATTGTCTCTATTTCCAGAAAACATGTCGGCTTATACTTCTCCCATTTCCAAAGTGCTAAATCACAGTAGTTCAAGTGAAAGAAAAGTTCTTTGACATCACAGATACAGAAGACCACTAATAATAAATTGAATGTGCACTGAAATAATGGAGATATTCAGATCAGTCGACTACTGTATTTTCAAGTTTAATTTATTCTTATGGAATAAAATATAACTTTAAAAATGAGCCCAAATTTATACTAACAGACTAGCACTCAGGATCCTGAATCTGCTCAATGTTTTTTTCCCAAATGCAACGATTACCATAAACTAATCATAATTTTCCTCTAAATTTTTAATGTTTTATGTTTCAGATACCACCACTGCCCCAAAAGAAAATATGGTCTTAAAAGTAATGAAATCATTATCTCTTTGCTTTCATTATACAGTTTAAAAAGCTGATTTAAACCAACAATGATAAAACGTGTGTAATGTACTTAAGTCTTTTGTCTTTCTTACTTGAGGTTGTACTAAGTAAATACAAAAAAACCCCTTACCTTATCAATTATCTTTTGAAAATGAACTTCTACAGTACAACTCTGAATATCCTTGTGTTCATCAGAATTATGTATTAGGACTGACAATTTTTTAGATCTTATTTTTTGTGCTCGATAGCCAAACACAAAAAGCATAGAATCAATAACATTGGATTTCCCACTGCCATTTGGCCCAATAATACAGGAAAAGCGCTGTATAAAAAAACAGGAAA